CAAATGATATTATTAAGTGCATAACTGTGTGTGTGTATGTGTGTGTATGCAAATGATATTATTAAGTGCAAACTGCGTGTGTGTGTGTATGCAAATGATATTATTAAGTGCATAACTGTGTGTATGTGTGTGTATACAAATATATATATTCAATTAGAAACTATAATAATGTGACGTCTCCAGACGTTACAATTACTATGTCATTGCGGGTCATCGCGTAAATTCCAAATTCCTCAATTAATTGTCTCCGACCGACACTCAGGATAAGTTAGCCTCATCTAGCGTCGAGTTCTCGCAGTGTCCGTCCTATATATATCAATTCAAAAATGTATAAATTCCAAGTCCGCCGGTGGGTGTTGGCTGATCGCGCGACGTAAACGATCGCGAGATTTAAGCGACCACCGTTGCGGCACCCCTCTAGGATGGGTGACCGTTTCCATACCCAACTAGTAGAGGCCACCCCCCCTCAACAACCAAGCGTCTGAAGCCCCAGGGGTCGCCACCATCATCAGCCACTGGGTGGCGACTCCGAGACGCGCTTTCTTTTCACAGCTTATCGACACGAACCCTATAGCACGCTCCACAGGATCGGTGAGACCTGGTGTGGCAGCAGGCCCAACCCCGGCCAACAACAACTTTAACATCAAGGTGGCCAGTCCTGGGACGTGTCGATAATATCGAATTTCATAATGTTAGTTACTATATAGTCAACATATTATTTCTCCCCTCATATATAAAATCCATAAGAGGAATACAAAAGTGAACAGATACAAATGGATTGATTAAATGATACCAAAATAATATTGCATAGATGATTTCTTCAATAGTTATAAACAACTATAACAATCATCTATGCAATATTATTTAATATCGAAATATATTTTCACTTATGTAGAATATAACGGACACATATGCTAAAGGCCCAAAGCACCATAATTCTTTTTTTACACAAATGTTGATCTTGATTGTTCCATTAATTATATTGGCAGGTACTGCAAGTTGATCACAAAGATTCTGCACATCCAGTTAAAGGCAGATACTAGTCAGAGTAGATTTAAAATGTTTTCTAAGAGATCTATTTTTTCCAAAAATACTTGATACATAAAATATTCCAAAAAAAACTTGACATTACCTATAAAATATTAGAATATTAAATGTTTAATAATTTACAATTAAATAATTTAATACTTACTTATAAACTAAATGAATGCAATTTAATGCCCAAATACATCTTGACTGGCAAAAACCATATAAAGAAAGCCATCAATGTCTTGTTCTCTCTGATAGAGTTGTGCCATAGTCATACTGCCACTTGCAAGATTTCTTTCGTTTACCAATAAAAAAAATGCTTGCGATGGATGTAACTGGAGTCTACGTCTAATAATTATTAATATAATAATAAATATTATTATACAGTTATATAAAAATTAGAGTTTAAAACTAATTAATAACTAATTAGAGTTTAAAACTAAATTAGAGTGTACCTAATGATTTTTACTAGTTCTGCTACTGTTAAAAAATCTGGTACCAAAAATTTAGATCTATCCAATATAGGTAAATGTTTTTCTGTATGGTATCTTTCCATAATAATAGGTATTTTGTTTGGATGACGACGTTTGATCATATCTACGTCATGAATTCTTTCTGCTAAATTACAAAACAGAAAGTATTTTAGAATTATTTATATTTAACAAAAAATAATATATTTCTAAATATAATTTTTAATATTAAATAATTTATTAAAAATTAATAATAAATATAGTTACATGCAGGTATAAATGAAAGTTGTTCTTATGCGTTCTCTTTTGTTATGAAAGACACATGTTTCAATAAAAGTCTATTTGAGCTATAAAGTAAGCAAAGAAATACTGTAGCTTGTTTAGCTTTGTCTTTCAATTTTAAATATAAAAAAGAATTGTAATTAATACAATAAAACATATACTCACCAAGTGAACGTGTTTCTTTATATGTTTTAGGGATTAAACTCATCGTGAGTTTACTGTCTGTTATTACGACGTTTAAAATGCTATCAGCTGTGAGAGTAAGAAAGTATATACAACGAGTCAAAATAATGCCAGCCTCTGACTGTTCTCAGCTTAAGCTAGGTTCGAGAGACAATGAAAACATATGTTCAAATTGATTTGTGCTGCCCTCTTAAAACTTGTCAGTGATTTTGTGTTTATTTTGTTCATTGTATCTTTAAAAACAGATCTCTGCCGTTACAGAGAAAAGAAAAGCGAAATTTAACCGTGTGATATTTATACTGCTATTTACAATGCTGTATAATATTTTTTTCTACTAAAAAATACCTTAGATTCCATAGGTTGAGACTATCATGAAGGATTAACAATTCTAGTTATTTGATGTGCAGTTATTGGCTAGTTGTTACTAGTGAATTGTAATCTTTAGGAGTACTTTTGTACCATCGTAGAAAATGTTTAAATTGAACTGCTATAGTAAATACGATTGGTCAAACAATATGATCAACAAGATAGAAATTTCTTGTTTTATAATATCTAAAGGCTAATAATTCTGTTAAATCCTTAGATCATGTTAGTTCCCTTAATAAACGATTCGTTAGCCAGAGCGCGCATAACAAATGTAATAGCGCTTCACGGAAGAAGCGGGAACTAAAATGGTGAAGAAGATACTGGAGTAACTCTACCATCTAGAGTAATAGTATAGTCTATGTCCTCCCCTTAGCTTTGAAACGAGAATACGTGTGGACACCTGTGCGTGCGGCAAGCACCAACCGTTGTGTACGTGAGTTTGTATGCGTGGATGTCGCAGGCGTTCCTTTATGAATAGAGAAATGGTATACCCGCCTTGAGTGGTTCGTGAATCGGCAAGTGCAAATTTCTCAGTGAAAAGTTGTGTTGAACTTGAGTAAAAAGATTCAGTGTTATCAAATGCAGCCTGAGGGGAGTACCTACCGCTTGTCGGAATTGAACGTGCAACTTGCTTGATACACGCGTGCCGGACATCTAGAACAAGAGAAGGGACAACAAAAACATCTGCACGTTGATAAGGAAGTACATTGACAAGGAAAGTATATACAGGAACCACCGTAGGAATGATGGACAGTCGCGTCTTAATAATCACTGAGATCACGATGGAGGAGTCCTCGCCACCCGAGGCGTCGTGCTACGACGTCTAATCATTGAAAATTCCCGATTTTATCTGTCTCGCGTGGTATCACTGTGGTTTTCTTAAAACCTAGCTAAGAGAGCTAAATACATACACAAGAGATCGTGCATCAGCCAGTTAGTCTGGCCGTTCATCCGTTTGTCTGGTCGTCTACCCCTTCTAAACCGTCCTGACACAACGTTTGACGGGGGTATAAAAAGAATAAACATGGTGGCGGCGTGAGAGAGACAGACAGGGAGATTGAGAGAAGGGAGAAGGACGGAGGAAGAGGAAGGGAGAGAGAGAGAAAGAGAGAGAGAAAGAAAGAAGAGAGAAGTCAGCCAGCTAGCTAGCCAGCTAGCCAGCCAGTCAGTGTGCCAGAAGCGACGAACTTCGTTTCGTGCTTCTCTTTGTTTCGATGAGAGAGTAATCTCTTTCCTGGACGTCTTACCTGCACTTTGCATTTATTCATATTTACCTTGACAGAGGATACGAGAGAGTAACGAGTTAATCGCACGATTAATCCCTCAAAGGAGAAGAGAGTTTTGTAAACAGTTATCAAGGTGCGGCCACGTTCGCCGTGTTCGCGGTGTTTGCTTCGATTTTCATGCGTGCTCCACGGGGTCCACGACCGAGCGTGTGAGAAATTCAGCATATAGCCCGGCAACTCGCGGTGCAGCTCGCATATTCGGCTTGCAGTGTGCCCCGTAGAGATGACAGAGCAATAATAATAACATGTCGCAATCGAGCGGATTTTCGAGCAATGATTCGTTAACGACGAATGTTCGCCAAATTGTTGTCGCGAGGGATCTTCGTCCGAAATAATACAATATAAACGACACAATTGAACGACAAATCACGAGGAACGTCACGACGCATGTAAATAGAACACGTTCGTCCGTGTACTAGACGAATAACTGCCCGTGAAGACTTGAGAAGCTGTACTTTTCTAATTCTAAAGATTCACCGCTGAAATTTTCCTCGTTCAGAGAAAGAAGTTCCGCCGTGCAACCTTACATCGAAGAGACGTTCACGCCGATCGGACGATTCCTGTATTCGATTATCGATACCGATAGTCCCCGATACTCCTTTTTTCATAATAAGTCGTTTAAAATCGAATCACATATATGGCTGTCCCGATTAACGGTTATTACGCTGCAGGAGAGGTGAATCTCGAGAGTGATGAACACGAACTGTTGTGTACGGAGGACGACGAAGCTGTTATTTCGACGAGCGTTAACATCCAATTTTGTTCGAAGGTTTGTCTGGTTTGAAAAATAAAAAGAAACAGAGGAAAAAAAAAAGAAAGAAAGAAAGAAAGAGAAAGAAAGAAGAAACGTTCGAATGGAGGGAAGTCGTCGTTCGTGTTGGCCGGCCTGGTGCCAATAACCTCCAGTCGGAGAGGTGGTAGACAGTTTTTTTTTCGCACGATGCGTTTGCCCTCGTGCTTAATAGATTATAAAATTAGACGTTCGAAACTTGGTGCAAAGGTAAGAGGAACATCATCGCGTTGTTCCCATGCGGTGAAGAAGGTGGACAGACTGGCTGGTGATAACGAGCAAAGGGTCAAACGAAGGAGGAAATTAATACAAGTCGGATGAATAATTTCGAGGGGGGTAGACAGCTGTGCATGGTAGTCAGAAGTGACGTCAGTCGCGTTGGGTTCATAGTTCCTCTTATTTTCATCGTTCAGAGCCATCGTGTACAGAGGCGTATATCGCGCGCAAGGGGGTAAAACAACGAAAGCGGCGAATAAGCGAAAAAAAGAAAGAAAGAAAGAAAGAAAGGATATACGTATCGAGGATCACGTTGACGAACTTTTTTTAACGATCACCGATCGTCACAGCAAAAAGAATCATCACAA